TACTGTCACTATCATCACAGTCGTCACTATTTCACAATCATCACAATCATCACTATCATCACTACCATCACAGTCGTCACTATTTCACAATCATCACTATCATGACTGTCACAATCATCACAATCATCACTATCATCACTATCATCACAGTCATCACTATGTCACAATCATCATAAGACAAGTCATCTTTATAGAGATTGAGTATTATCTCTCATTCCCTTACCGACACCAAAGAAAAGTGGACATATGATGATAGACGTTGTAACCCCAAAACAAGGCACCAATAATGGCAGCATACAGGCTCTGTACACAAACTCTTCTGTTAAAGGGGCCTATGAATAGCAATGGAGGATACTCGTTAGTTACTTCACTTTGAAGAAATTCCTTAAAAGTGGGCTTTCTGTGGATTTACCACAGGAAGCCCAAGCAGCCCTTTATTAGTGAAAGAGAGATTGAACTCAAATTACAAAACATCAGGGCCTGGATGTAAGAAGCCTGGATAGCACTATCCGGCATATATCTCCTTATCCAGTGGATAAGTCAATGCTGTTATCCAATAAATTTATCCACTGGATAAGATTTGTCTGTTGGATAGCACTATCCAGGTTTTGTACGACCGGGCCCTGTAATGTAAAAACTTCAGTGCTCTTACCACTATGTAATTACGAATTTGTACAGAGTCTAGTAACATTGAATTATATTTGAAATAACCTAAAAAGAAAAGAATAGACACGTTACTCAGACTGTCAACAGTGCAGAAAGAATATAAGATTTAAAAAAATACAAAATGATTTGAAAAAAAGACTGTAATCTACCTGATAATTTAAGCTTAACATCTCCATTTAGCAACAGCAACAGCAAGGGTCCTAGAAACAGAATCTGAAAGAATGGAAGGCAATAGGACAAATGAATAAAAATATACCAGTAATAACTAACAAATGAAGATATCAAAAATAGATTAGCTGTCATTAGCCTAAAGCAGCCTAGCTCTCGTGGGAAGAAGATGGGCTTTGGGGATCAGTGTGAGGCAAGATAGGTAGAGTAGCATGGGTGGTGTTAGCAGCTAATGCATCATCTTTCACTGCTGTGAGTCCAACGGGTCAGGTCGCTGGTTTAAGCCCTGCGGTCGCCACATGTGAATTGAGTTTGTTTGATGTGTTGTTCTCTCCTATGCTACGAGGGTTTTCTCCGGGTTCTGCGGTTTCCTCCCTCAGTAAAAATCAACATGTTAGTTGAGCATTGTGTGTATAGTATATTGAATGAAGTGGTAGTGCATGTGAGCAAAGTATCCCCAATTGGTGCGAAAGCACTAGAACGACTAGACACTTAAATCAAGTGATCTATTTATTTTATTTATTACTTAAGAAAAGGGGGAGGGAGATCAATTGAACCTCCCTTATCGAATAGAGGCTGCTGCTCATGCTAATTACTAATGGATAAGATGTAAATAATTCCTTTCATCTTAGGCACAAGGTTTTCTTCTTTCAAATCACCTTTCCCCCCCTTTTCTGGAAGTACAACCATAGGCCACCCACTTGGAATTTAACCATAGCCATGTCTGACAACACCTAAGCTATGCCATCAAAACAAGTTAATTATCAAGTAGACTAAACAATCTTTGATATAATACCATTCAAGAACCTACTATTGTCAAAAATAGAGGAAGTGCTGCTGCTGTGAGGGTGTTGCTTACATGAATTCCTAACCATCTCCATAGCGAATAAACCTATAAAAAAACAAAGAGCAAAATATATCTATTATAAATGATATGGATGATGGTAATATTGAATATGATGGTGATGATGATAGTGATAGTGATTATGCTGTTGGTGATGTTGACCATGATGGTGGTGATGAAGATGAAGATGATGATGATGAATATGATGATGATGATGGTTATAAACACAAATACTGACCGCATGTTCTTGATTTGTTTGCAATCTGTTGTCTGACCAAAGCCATACATAAACTGGAGCCGACAGAGAAACAACCGCAACACTTTTGAATCTCTGATAAATAGTTTTCGGATGATCCCTGTAGCACGAAAGGTTTTTGTAAGCTAATTTTATAGTACCTTGGTGTCATCATGCGCTACAAATTATGCTAAAGAAAAGTCAAAGAAAAGATAATATTGACTCGAAAACTACTTACCTAGGAAGAGGAGACTTATTTATGTACAAACTAGCTACATACCCGACAGCAATCACAAAACAGGCTACGAAACTACGAAAATAAGTTATGTTATTAAAACTAACAAAAGGAGCAACTGCGTCCGCCATCTTGAATTCGCGCGCTAGAAGCACCATGGGTAGGCACAGGAAGCCCAACGATATCTCCTTCATACTAGCTCCTCAATCTCTGATATTTCCAAAAAGTTAAGAAAGATAAAAAATAACCTTATTGTTTTCATTTCTCATTTCMCTATTTAAGATATGAACGCATAAAAATCATTAAATTTTATAAATTTTGAAGTTATACAATTTGCGTTTTTGAAAGAACAATACTTAGGAAGCTTATTCCAAATGTTTCTTATAAGATATGAGTTACGAATTCTTTTTTGAATGGAAAATAAATTTAATGCGATAAGATATTCTTTTTGAAATTATTATTTTCTTGTGGAGATATTTCTCGTGGTTTTTAATGGCGCGTCGGGCTTCCTGTGGTGAATGCGCTGACTGGATTCAGTGGGCTCAGGATATCATCAGATCTTTCTCAATCACCAGCTTTTGTGAAATATTCCCAAAGACAATGAAGAATTATTTGAATTATTTCCAGCCATTAGCCACGTATGACCACTCTCTYGTCATAAAGTAACGCTGCTACTGTCACTACTGTACAAATAATGTAAAAAATCCTGGAAATTATATCTGGGGGAGTATTTTTTTTGCGTGGAACAAAACATGGTCGGAAGAGAAGTCAAAACAGGAACAAATACTTCCATTTTTCCGTCTAAATAATCTTGGAAAGTTCAAATTATTCCTTAAAATAACATTTGTCTTGGATATTAGCCTAGAACACGTGGAGTAGTTGAGCTAAGTTCTAAATGCTTGCGTGATAAAAAGAGTAATTGCAGACTTGCATAATACTGTACGTCTAAGAAAGACTTTTGGCTATTGGAGTTGTTTTTACTCTGGAAATAAGCTGAATCGTTGATCCCTTCTGGTAGTTCGTGCAAGCAATGGAGCCGTTTGACTTGGATATACTAAGTACTACAGGGTTCAGTGATTTAATGTGGAGTCTCAAACGATACGAGCCTGACTGCTACAAATATTCTACTGAGAGAAATCCTGAAGAAATAAAACAGCATGTATTAGACTCTCGAAGGGTTAAACACATCATAGAAGAGGTACAGACTGCATTTTTATTGTTGCAAGCGCTTTATGTGCAAATTTATAAATCCTTTACATGTAAAAACGATTTAAAAATTGAATCATTACCGGTTATATTGCATTCATGTTGTGCAATATATATTTGTGCATAGGGCGTGGCTGGGGTGCATTCATGCACAGTATTGCAGTTTATGCCAAGTCCATATTCATATCTCCTGGTCATTCTTAAAAAATATCATCAAATTGATGTGTGCAATGCCTTATTTAGAACTTGTGGTGGTAATACACTTCTAAAGTACTAATAGGCCTTTTGCAACAACAGGTCACGTGACCCTACCCCAGTAAAAAGGGACGTTGTGTCAAAATGAACACCAGAAATGGAAAGAGCACCTCGAAATTAGTAAGAAGCCAAAGTTTCAGCTTATGACATGTAACACAGGAGAAATGGCATTAAATACAAAATTGAATATTTTATAAGGATTTGTATTGGGAAATGTCCTGGAGGGCAAGCTATGCCCGCCAGCACATTTCCCTATACAAATCCTTATAAAATATTCAATTTTATATTTAAGGCCTTTTCTACCGTAGTCAACATTATAAGCTAAAACATTGCCTATTTACTAATAGTGAGGTGCTCTTTCAATTTCTGGTGTTCATTTTGACACAACGTCTCTTTTTACGGGGGGTAGGGTCACRTGACCTGTTGTTGCAAAAGGCCTATTACTGTATTTATGGTAGACAAATCCTAACTGCCTCCCTCCCCTCCTCCCCCATCCCATCCCCCCAAAAAAATTCCTCTCTTTCTCCCTG